TTTCTTTCGTTTTATTAAACTACCCGAAAATAAGCAACACTATAACAAAAAAGTGTTGCTTATTTTCGGAAGAATACGGTAAATATAAAATAATAAATATCTAATTTATTTTTTTTTAAACTTGGATAATTCAAATGTTAAATATGTGAAGTTAAATATGTTATGTTAAAATTGTTATGTTAAATAGGTTATGTAAAAAGATAAGTATGTTGATGCTGTACATAAATAATGAATAATATGATAATATGAATAAATATACATTTAAATGCCTTTTTCCAATAATACAAGTTGAAGTGCAAATCTAATTATCATATAAGTTTTTCACCTGAAACACTTCATAATCATCTAAAATATTATCTTTATGATATAAAGCCAAGCTCATGTTGGGATATGTTTTGCAAGAACTATTTCTAATGATTTTATTATTTGTGATCTTCAAATCCCATCCACGACCAAAAGCCGGTCCACTGCTTTTATCATAACTTACTGCATAACTTTGTTCTTTACCATTAGTAGTTATCTTCATAATGCGCCCAGAATTAATATTTTCGTTTGAAAATGAGAATAAAAAACTATCTGATGTCGATCGCCAACTTCTAGAGCACTTTTTTACAGTATTATAAGGTTCCCAACTAAATGGATTATATCCTCCAATTAACTTGCCATCAGCTTGTAATTTTGCAATCATAATCGTTGAACCTTTATTATCACATAGTTCATGAAATTTTTTTGCTTCAAATCCATCCCTACTGGCACGATAAAGCAGTTTGAATAAATAAGGGATATTCCTAGAACAGTAACAAGGCTTTTCGCTTTTATCAATCCAACTTGCAATTCTTGATAAATGATGTTTATCGATAATACAAGATTCAAAAGAGCTATTTCTTGATGGCAGAATTACGTTTGATGGTGATGTTCCTGGATCTAAATAATGTCCAATTATATCCCTAAATAATTGTTTAGGAAATATTGGTTCAAATGGACTAATTTTCCGCCAAAAATCTTTTGCAGGGATTTGAAACCATCTAATGTGTGGGATTAAATCAAAAAGTATATCTTCTAGATCTCTAAAATTATCTAATGTCCACTCAGATACATTATCAACATCCAACCGAGTGGACATTCTTGAAATACCCCATTTGAGAATATAATTCCAAATTACAATTTCTTCCATTTCGAGGTCACATTTTAAAAGATGAATAATGAGTTCGCGTTCAAGTGATGCAAATTTGGGAGATTCAAATAGGGCTGTAGGATTTTCACAAATATTTTCCAAACAATAATTTCTTAATTCTTCAAGATTTTCATATTGAAATACAATATGGAGAATTTCAACGGGAGCATTTCTTAAAAATTCAGCTTGCTTACTGATCAAATAAGGTATAATACGATCATTTAACTTTCGAAGACCAAACTCATCAGCTGCTTCATAAAGTTTCAACACTTGTACTTCGGTTTGATTTTCCAAGTCAACCATTCCAGTATAGAGGTATTTTAATAATAATTCAAAGGTTTCCGGAGAAATGTTTGGTTTTGTAAAAATAATAACTCCATTTTCTTTTTGCGCCCATTGCTCTGACAATGCGGTCTTAAAGTATATCGACCGCTCTCTTAGAATTAATGCATGCGCAAAGAATTTTTTCGTATTTTGACCTTCTCCAGCTTTAATAATTACATCAAAACGATCTCCGCTAGAAAGAAGTCGTCCAATATCATTTGATAATTCTGATAAAAGGTTTAATCGTTCCCCCATAGTTTTTAAAAAATGAACGTTTAATAGGAAGAGTGGGCTGTTGACAGATTAATTAACTTAAATAGATTTGTAATAGCCGATAATTGCTACTTTTGGTTGTGCAGCATTTGAGTTTGTAGTACTCATTCAAAATTGTTCCACTAACGGAATAAACGGACCCTAGGTTAAGCAAGAACAAATTGCCAAGCACTTTCAAATATTATTTTTAGCATGAATTTTTTAATAGCTGTTGATATATTTGCAATCTTTTGTCACATTAACATGTATGAAATTTGATGTTTTCACGTAAATAAACATTGTCTTTGTTCTGTTAATGCAGTTATATGATTTATTCTTTTTTTTTTTTTTTTTTGAGGGATTTTGTATTTTAATCAAAATTAATTAAATAAAAAGTAGATCTGTAAATGAAAAAACCATACATGTGTGTAATACCCGTAAATGATTTAATTATAAAATTACTAAATTAATAATTTAAAAATAGAAAAAATTAAACTAATTTAAATTTAAGCATAATTTTTAAACTTTAATTGATTTTAAAGAAAATTTTAATTTTAATTTTATTTAATATAAATAGAAACTTATCTCTTAAATCTTATTTTATTTTTTAATTATATAAAATTTTAATTGATAGATATTTTTAATATATTCTAATTCTTACTTTAATAATAAAGTATTTAATAAGTTAAAAGTACTTATTTTACTTCATAGTATATTAATTTTTTTATCTTTTAATAATTTAATTTTGTATAAATAAATTAATATATAGATGTATCTTTTTTATTTATTATTAAACTATATTTTAAATATATAAAATTAATATTATTATTTTATTAAAATAATTTTAATAAATAATAAAATAAGTTTTTATAAAATTTTTAATAATATTAAAAAAAAGTATACTCACCTAGCAAAAATGACCAATCAACAATAATTTTGCGATTAAATATCTCATTTTTAAATACCGTATACTCTTGAAAATAAGCACACCTTTTTTATTATAAGAGTGCTTATTTTTGAGAGATTTTTAAAATTTTTTTAAATTGTATGACGATCTTGTGAGACCAAATGACAATCCTTAATAATGAACCGTGCATACTGCGCGTTTGAGTATAATGCGCATTCTGCACTTACTGCGCGTAACTCTGTGACTTTTTTTATAAATGGTAACGGTCAAACGTAAACGTAGTTCATATTCTATTAAACAAAAAAAAGAGGTTGTTACTTATG